CTGAGTGCTGTCCCTGAGCTTTGTTGCCCAAGGTTAGTGCTCTTCCACTTCAGCCAAAGCTCCACTTCTGACTTTTTGGGGATTAATTGGAGATAAGAATATCTTGGACTTTCCTTCCTGGGCTGGCTTTGAATCACAATCCTCAGATTTCAGTCTCCTGAGTAGCAAGGATTATAGACTGAACTACTAGCACCTGGCTGTTTCATATTTTATAAATAAAATTCATTTCTCAAAAAAGCGTATACGTTTCTCCTCTCCTCCCCTCCCCTCCCACCCCCTCCTCTTCCCTCTCCTCTGCTCCCTTCCCCTTTATTTCCCTCCCCTCCCCTCCCCTTTTCCTATTGCCCATGATACGTGTTGAAGAAAATGACACATAGACTTATTGTTACAAGGGTTTGAACTTAGAACCTTACATTGCTTGGCCTCATGGAGTTTTCTACTCTGGCAGGCTTCTTACCACAGTCCTCTGGATCTCAGCCTCCTGAGCAGTTTACATTACAGATGTGAGCCACTAGTTCCTGGCATAGGACAGATTGAGTTTTAACATTTCAAACACCTTTTTCTTATAGGTAAATAACTTGTGAAAGAGCTGGACCAGCACAAAAACTTAGCAGTGTTTCAGGTTTCTGTTAAGATCCTATTCTTACATGGTTTGAAGAAAGTGGATTAGTAAACTTGAGAGAATCTTGTACTGAAAGGAATTAGTGATGTTGGGGCCTTGGTTAAGTGTAAAATAATATTCGAGCAGAGAGAAAAGATTGTATTAATGAGTGAATATGGACATATGTTTGCTGTTGTGATGGAGAAAGTCTTTTTCACTTTATCAAAGCTAGTCCTTTTCCCTACCATATTACATGATCACTTTAATTTATTGCTCAATAAATATTAAGTGGGCCCCAAATTTCAACTGTCAAGTAAAACAACTAAAATGATTTTAATGGAATATATATTGAAAGCATTCAGTGCCACCTTACTATTTATTTTTTCAGCTTATTGGGCAAATTTGGCTCTTTGCATCTTTGACTGCCACGTTACATTTTGCCTGAAGTCATCCATTTTGCAGATATTGAATTCTTTTTGAGGGCTATTTTTATACAATAAGCATCACTACACCTCTGGATCTTGATAGCATTACTGCAGGAGGAGAAAGCAGCTTTGTGTTAGTAATTACCCGACATTGTCAGAAGCTGACTGCAGGCCTCTTTCTAGTGATAACAGAATAACCGCATAATGTAGCTTTATAGCACATGATTAATAGAAAATAATTACACATCCTACAAAGGGATGCAATATTTCTTATAAATTGACTAGAATGGTTTCCTGTAGATTAAAGGACTCTTCATTATTTTATCAGTCTTCCTGAAGTACAGTCACTTGCCTGTGTTAGCATTTCAGTCGATGTTAAGAGCCGAATAGGGTGAAAGATACCAGATGGCAGACCTTCTTGTACCTGAGATCTCGGGGGCTGTAAAGATGACACGATGCTTCCTAACCTGTCAAGATTTAGATGCCAGCCAGGTATGGCCTCCTCTCCTCTCCTCTCCTCTCCTCTCCTCTCCTCTCCTCTCCTCTCCTCTCCTCTCCTCTCCTCTCCTCTCCTCTCCTCTCCTCTCCCCTCTCTTCCCCTCCTCTCTCTTCCCCTCCTCTCCCCTCCCCTCCTTTCCCTCCCCTCCTCTCCCCTCCCCTCCCCTCTCTTCCCCTTCCCTCCTCTGATTGCCCATCTCTCATCTCTCTTCTCCTCTTTCCTTTTTCACTCTGTCTTAATTAACAAGATAAGGCTTGAGAGTTTTGTTTAAATGATCCACCTGCAACTTTATAGCACAGTACCATAATTAGTATATGGACCATAAGACAACACTGTATTGATCCCGTTATTTTCCACAGTAAGTAATATATCACTCATAATCACATTTGTTAGGGGGCAGCAAAGAGGAAAGGCAGAGACAGGCCGATTTTCTTCCTCGGAAGGAAGCCCTGTGTGTGGTTGAATCTTGCGGCTGAAGTTTAGAATACCATACTCCAAGAAGCATTTTCATTCCAATTTATAGGCTGCAAATGGTTTAATTGGGATTCATGTTGCTCAGGAGGCTCATCCGGAGGATGGTAATGATGAAAGCCAAAGCTCCTGTGTTTGCAGTCTCGTCGACATACTCGATTGGCTACAGTGGAATCCATAAATTTGCTCCTAGATTTTTGCCTCACTATATTTTATCTCATCTCTTAATTCTACACAGGAGTATTAGATGGATTTGTGTGTGTGTGTGTTTGTGTGTGTATGTGTGATTGTAAAGCATTAAATATCCTGGTTTTGATTTCTACCCTTTTTCTGATTTAAATCAGTTATGTTTTAGAATACTTTCATTATGTGTATTTCATAGATTTTTTCCAAATATTTTAAATTAAGTGAATCATTTAAGGTAGTTTTAATGTAAAACTTTTTCCCCTTAGAATATTACTTTTAAGGGATTTTTCTTTTCTTTCTTTTTTCCTTTTTTTTTTTTTTTTTTACAGCTGAATAAGCATCTCCCTGCTGTTTACTACTGTGCTTTCTACTTAATGTCCCTGCTGGTCTCAAGTGTGAAATCTGTAATCTGTCCTTGGTTGATGTGATGGGTTGAGAGTCAGTTCTTGTGTGTGTGTGTGTGTGTGTGTGAGAGAGAGAGAGAGAGAGAGAGAGAGAGCACATGCACACACATGTGCTTTATGAGCAAGATATTGCGGCCTTAGGGGGCAGAATGGGTGATAACCAGAAAGAAATAAAAAGGCATGTTAACTTTCTGGCCTGTACTTTGAATCTGAACATTGTCATCCAGATCAAGGGCCATTCTCTGGCAGCAGGTTTGGGTCAATAATGCATCCTCTCACAGAGTATCTTTTTTGTGTAACTCTGGCAGGTGCTTTCTTTACTCTTTTCACATAGTTTGAAAAATCTAAGGCTGGCATTGGATAAGAGTGTTCACATTCAGACACTCTTTTGGCAATCCATTTTGAAAACTTATAGTGTAGGTCTTTGTTCCGTGGAAGGTTAAGTACATTTGTTTTGTTAAACATTAAGCTCTAATTGTATTCATTGCCTTAAAAATGGAAAAGGTCAGTTTTATTAGGTACTTATTAGGATATAATGGTTGCTAATCATAGCTTTCAGTAAGTTGGTATTTTCTTCTGACAAATGTGTCCTACATAGATTATCATCCTCATCACTGTGTTCTGGCCCCAGGGTGTTCTCCCTGCCTCCTTTTGTCCACTGAATATCATACTGCCCATGAACTTTTAGACTTAAGATCTGTAGTCTACAGCCACATCAGTGGGCACTGTGCTCTCCTTAGAGTAAAAAGCACAGCTGAGAGAGTTGGAAGGCTCCTGCAGTCCTTGTACCCTGGACACTGAGCTGGGAGGATCATAAGTTTGAGGTCAACCTGGGCTACATAGTGGGTTTAGCCAGTGTGGACGTTATAAGTGAGACAAAAGGAAGGAAGGAAGGAAGGAAGGAAGGGAGGGAGGGAGGGAGGGAGGGAGGGAGGGAGGGAGGAAGAGAAAGGAAGGAAGGAAGAAGGAAAGAAAGAAAGAAAGAAAGAGGGAAAGAGAGAGAAAAAAGAAAGAAAGGAATAGAATTAGTCTTTCTCTCCCTTCCACTAAGCCTAATTCTAATACTGCCCCCTGTTATAAAAGGACCTATAGATTTCATTCTGCAGTTGAGTCTTTATTGATAGACCATATATCAATATATGCATGCTAATATTGCTACATTTGTATTGAAGAATTGCATAATTTTCCTTTCTGATGGTCAATAGCATACTAATCAATACAAATGTGAAGTCTGCACTAGGAGTAACCTTCCCTCCCCACCAGTAACTCAATATGCATATGCACATTTATCTATGACTCACATGTTGGAAAATCATAACCTATTGAATTACTTTGGGGATTGATTTTAAAAATTTATCTTATATGAAAAATTAAATTTGGGTAGAATGCTTGTGCAGAGTATTGCTTTTGGAAGATATTATTCTTGAAACTTGTAATTCATTTTACTTTGTTTGTATCTCACTAAACATAAATAAATTTGAGATAAAAATACATTAGTCAATCTGGCAGACATATGAGGCCAGTTATGGAGTGTTCACCATGCCTAAAGCAGTGGCATGTCTGTCAGTGGGGGATAAAGGAGAGAAGAGGAGACCCAGGTTTGTTTATCTCATGTTGCAAAGTAAACGCAGAAGTGCCTCATCAATCACTCCTCTGTACAGCTATATTAATGTTCTGCCTTTAAAACTTGAGATACTTTTATTCCCTATTGATCCTCTACTAGATGGGTGAATTGAGCACCACCTTTAAATTCCTTCCTCCTATCCCTTCTCTGACTTAAGGTAGTTTATAATCAATTAAAGGTATAGTGAATGCCTTAAAGGAACCCATTGTAAATAATTTTGCGTTGTTGTTTTTGTATTTTTTTTGTATTAGTGTCTTCTTGTTCTCTAATGTATATATTAGCTTTTCTTCATAAGGACTATACCTCTGAATTCCAAATAAATTTAGATCACGAAAGTTTAGGAATTAAGTAGTTTATTGCAAAAAATAAAGTCATTTCATCTTTGCTAGATAATAAGTTTCTTGAAGGCAGATATACTATCTTTGGGATCTGGTGTTTGCACATAAATGGGGTCCCCAGCTGTATGGAGAGTGTCAGGGACACAGAGACAGGAGGCCTAGAAAACCAGCTTCCTGATGCAGTTTCATTTCCAGCTTTTTACCCTGTGTGACTGCTTCGTGGTTCTTTGCCAATGAATAAACAGGCTTTGTGTTAGACAGTAATCTAAATCTTCCCTAACAGCATCTTTAAGTGTCCAGAAATAAAAAAAAAGATAAAAATGTTTTCATTTGCAGCTCAAGCTCTTATAACTTTATGAAAAGAAATAACATTTCTTTCTTAGAAGTTGCATACACATGACATTGTACTTACACCGGTCTAAAGGTTAATATTGCATATTGTTTTCAATTAGGAATACAATAGATATGGCTGGTGGGTAGGAGAAATGAAGGGAGCCATTGGCTTGGTGCCTAAAGCCTACATAATGGAGATGTATGATATTTGAGAGCCCTGGGTAAGTACATTTTAATCCAATATTCTGGAATAGCTCATATGTTCTCTTGGTCTCTTCCTTATGAGTCTTTGCTTTTTTTAAAGAAAAAAAGTCTTTACAGTTTTCTGATAACATGAAGATGTTGATCTCAAATCTTTTTGTTTGTTTCGTTTGCTCTTGAACTTTTAAAATAAGCTCAAGGAATTTATTTTGGAAGTGCATAAATTAATTTAGAGAAAGTCCCTTTGATAATAACCAGCTGTTTTCCCAAACCCCCTCTATCATAAACTTGTTACTTTGATGGCTTTTCTGAGGAGCCCAATGGAAAGATACTGAGTAAACATTCATGTTTGTTTGTCTAAGACTTTAATTTTTTTCTAAGCATGAAAACATAACATTTCTACTGAAGAATAAAATTAAAATGCAATGTTTCTGCCTTCAGGGAAGGAAGCGTCTTCAGGTTGTCTGCAAGTGCTGTGGTATAGAAGCCTCCTACAAGCCTGAGTGAGAGTTTGGAGTCAGTCTTTAACTGCTATTTTATACAATTTTGTTCATTGAAATAGCCCTCTGCTGTGAAATGAAATAAGAGGTATTGATTAAATTAGGTGTAAACGGGAAAGTCATACCTGTTGCTATTTTTCAAAGAAGTACTTATAGGATTTATTTACTTATTTAATTTATGTGAACAATTCATTGCTTATGGGTGTGGAACATATTGTCACTGTGACATAAGCTGTCCTTTCTCTTAGTCATTGGATATCAGAGTATCACATAACTTCATAGAGTTTTAATTTTTATCATACAAGATTTGATAGCCATATAGATGATTTCCATTAGCAATTTTTTCGCACAATAATCACGTTTTTGTGAAATAAATCTTACAGATTGTAAAATTTACTCCTTGTTAAATATAGCCACAGGGAAGAAAAGCAAGATAGAATTACAAATGGCAACTTGAGTAAAGTGCAAATCAGAACCAGGTCTGTGCAAGGTCAGTCACCAATAGCAAGACTGATTGGATCATGGGATTCCCATTGTTTTCTACCATAGTTTTACTTAACATTTAATAATAAAAGATCCATCAGAAACCCTGTAGTACCACTAATACAATGGTATAAACAGTCTCCCTGTAGTGTTGTAGTAAGAGGGCTTAGTCTAAGTCTTACCCTGCCTTATCCTTGTTGTAAAGGCCTACTCTAGTACAGCTCATCTCTCTCCCCAGTATATCTCAGCACTGAGAGGAATTGTCGAAATCAGAGGAGTGCTGTTTACCCACAGGTGAACAGAAGGCTGGTGTTCTGAGTTATATACTCTTTGCTGCTACAGCAGGAAAGTCCTGTTTGAAATCAAAGCTATTCGTTGGTAGCAGTACTGTAACCAAATAAGCCTTAATCTGTATCAAAACACATTAGTGATTGGATAATTACTTATAATAGACATAACTTTATACCGAATCATTACCTAACAGGCACTACCTTGGCTGAGCTTTTTCCATCTTTAATTTACAAAAGAAAAGATTCTAACCATGCAAACGAGCTGATAATCTTTTTTTAACACTTCTCTTTTTATGTAAACCTATTTAAAAATAATATTAAGTAGTGTTTATTTCACTGTTTTCCTCTAAATGCCATGATCTCTAATTTCGCATGTAAAAAGCATAACAATTTCAGAGATTGTGAGTAAACTCATATATAGAGATAGATAGTCAAGTTAAAGTTTTCTGAAATTAAATTTATACTGTTACCCCTTTTCCTAATGTAATACCACTGAAATGGATTGAAATAATCTTGGCAAAAAATTAGACAGGTGGAGATGAACTTAGTGGATTGTTTTTTTCAAAGCCTGTCTGGCTAAAAAGAGGTTGTTTCTATTGACAACATAGCCTAGCTTATGGGCACAGGTTTGTTACTTGACCAGTAGATGGCAGCAGATTGTCATTGCATTCAGAGCCACTTGGTGACCCCCTCCCCCACTGAAGCACAACCTTACCCAGAACATGATCTGGTTAGGGGATTTCTGCCTCCTTTTACAGTTAATCCAGGAGAGGGAGTCCTTCTCCAACTGATGACGAACAATTGAAAGCCAGAAAACTATATTCTCTGTGAATGGCCACCATATAGAAATATAGTGTGTGACTTATGTCCAGTGCGCTGCTGGCCTTTGTTCTTTCTAAACTTGAATATATGTGGGAGACAGAAAAAAAGGAAACAAAAGACTTAGAATTTGGGGTGATAAGAAAAATACCTGGTACTTTTGATCCATAATTATTTTATATTCATTTGATGAAGTAATTTGTATACTAACAGGGAGAAAGTTTTCTTTACACTCTTGATAATATATCACGTACTCTTCAAGAGCATTATAATATCATTAATGTGAATTTGAACAACGTGGCTTGTTAGAAAATATGCTAATTGTTATGTTCTCATTATGTTTGCTTAGCTTTTATTTGTTTTTTCTATGAACAGTTAGAGACCTAATTTTTTCAAAGGTGATTGTAAGTCATATTTTATATAACATTTTGCTTGATTATTTGCTCTGTACTGAATTTGTACTCCATTGCCATTAGATCTTACAATAATGTTCCACTCTGCAAATTTTTAAGGTTCAAATAAAGTTTAATTGTTTGCAAACTGTTATGATGCTAATAATTCAACAGCCTGCTGTGTTACTAATGAAATTACTTTGTTATGATTAATTTGGAAAATAGTGTGTTGATTGTAGTAATTAAGCACAACAAGGTGAAGTAAATGATTCTAATGCCATCTGGCCTCCAAACTGAATGAAGAAATGAAATAGTGCTGTCATCTGAATTTATTCAAAGAAGTAAGGATAATACAAATGACTTCCATTGGGTAGTCTTTACATTTAACCACAGCTCACTCCATTCTGGTTCTGCCACTTTACTGCATAGACACTTGCTTTTATGAAAAAGAATGCTGTTTCGGTCCAACAATTGTTCTAAATGCTTTATTTCAAGATGATTATTTTTATCACAATTTAATTACAGATAATTACATAAAGTAGTAGATGCTCATAGAAAAATTACTTTTTAGCCATCTGTAGGTAAAATTCCATATAGATGGGGTTTTGTTTTGTTGCTATCAACCTAAAAGCACTTTTGTATAGCCTTTCACAAGCAGTACAACTTCCCTTCAACTGTTTCTGTGTTTGCACAGAATTTACACAGAATTCTGTGTTTCCTGTAATTTTTCCAACTACTACTCATCTTAAAGGCTCTGGGTACTACCTAACTTCATGATGAAAAACAGTACGATATACATCTTATAGACTCAGATTTGCAGTTCGGCCACTAAGAAAACTGTTCTTAAAGTGTATGTTGTTTAAAAGCTTGAATTTCTTAGGTGAGTCCAAGTGAGACATTATGAGAATTTTTTTAAAATCAAGTAAAGTTCTACCAAATTTTAGATCAGTCTGTTTTTAACTCAGTTGTTGAATAGAATGAATTCTAGACCAGCCAGTAGGATCACTTTTTTAAAAATTTTAATACATTTTTATTGCAAAAATACTGTACAGAGGGGTTACAGTTACATGAGCAAGGTCATGAATATATTTCCTATCAAGCATTGTTGCCTCCTCCTTTGTTTTTCCCCTACCTCCCTTCCCTCCCACCTCTACAACTACACCTTCCCAATCCCCCATCACCCCTCCACACACACCTAAATTGTAAAGTTCAACATAGTGTCTTGTACATCACATTGTTACAATGGGTCACCCTGTATCCCTATTTAAGCATTTTGTTTTTTCCTTCCCCTCCCCAAATTAGAGAAGTGTATATACAAGATGCAGAGCAGTGACATCAAATACAGTGAAAACAGGGGTTATACCATGGGGGAGGAACACACAAAGAAACAAAAAAATCACATGGTATATTATAAATACATTAGAAACAATAGCAAGAAAGAAAAAACCACTTGTGTCCCTACCTTGGGGTTCATTTCGCTTAACATCATCTTATCTGTCATATGTACATAGCTTTTGATCTTTTCTGCTTGTCCCAGACATACACTAGTTATTGCAAATAAGGGAAACCATGGCACCTATGTTTCTTTGGGCCTGGCTTACTTCACTTAATATAATTTTTTCCACTTTTATTTCAGTAGTTTCAAAAGTAGACCAAGTGGTAAAGAAGAAAGTGAGGGAGATCAGAACACAATCATACCATAGACATATAGCTTCACTCAAAGGTTGAAGGGATATAATTTATATGTATATATGAATATGTATATGCATATATAGATACATATGAGAAAAACATTTGTTAAACATGGTCTAGTCTGTCAATAAAATCCTGAATATTCAAAAGCACAAAGAAATAACTTGTATGTTATTTAAGTATCTTCCTACAAAGTTTACTTGTATATAACAGTGTATCCTCTGGATTGAGAGCATAACATTCCTAGACATCCCTGGATGGAGCCACTTGGAAAATCCCTGCTACTTCCCATTGGCTTCTTCCAGAACATCTATTAGCTATTCTAGGATGGTACAAATATTTGTAAAATGATGTGATCACTGTAACATGGCATGACATTTCATTAATGTTTTATTTAAGGAGCTTTTTCTTAGTTTTATTAGTAGGTCATGGACTTCTGTCACTGGAACCCTTTATAAGATCCAATGTCAGTGTGATACAAAGCCTGCAGTGTGCAGGTAAAGACATGGTAACTGACTTGGCACCCAAATAGCTCAACACCTGAGATTTAAGAAGAAAGGAGTTCAGCCTCTTCACCTGGTAGAGAAAATGCTTTTATACAGTTAATGCATGTGTTTTCTAAGAATGTTCTCTTAGTCCAAAAACTGGTCCCTTTTAGAATCTCTGGAAGCAAGTCCCTATAACCCCATCAGCAAGAGAACTGGATCTGTTAGTTAACTGAATGGGGGAGGAAGGTGTGAGTAACTCAACAATTGAGCAGACAATCATAGATATTTCTTCCCTTTCTGTGTTCAGCATTGTGACTCTCAAATGAGAGGTACAGGTGGTTCAGACAGCTTGGGGAAAGAGGTTCGCTTTCCAGAACACTGCTGTCTACTTTCCCCTGGGAATGTCAGAGGAGCCTCTGCTCCTGCCTTCTACTTCAGAAGCAAGCATTCTAGCCCTTCGTCTGGGTGGATCAGAAAGGAATTCCTAAACAGGCATGCTGGCTTACATCTGTAATCCTAGCTGAGGCAGAGCATCATAAATTTGATGTCAGTCTTGGCTATATAGGGAGATCCTGACAGAAAAGGGAAAAAAAAGTGTTTCTGAAAGTGAGATGTTTCAATTGTCAATTGTGGTAAATCCAACCATATCAAAGTTTTTTTCCTGAACTCTAGGCCCAGGCACTCTCCCTCAACTATCCCTCAGCTCTTTAGCTTGGCTAAGACTCTACCACTTGAGCCACAGTGCCACTTCCAGTTTTTTCTGCTTTTATGTGGTGCTGAGATATCGAACCCAGGGCCTCATACATGCAAGGCAAGCACTCTACCACTGAGCCACCTTCCCAGCCCTTTTTTTTTTTTTAAGTCTTTACAGTCTTTAAATTGTTAACTGTGTTAACTTGAATGTTTTGTGTCCCTAAGATGAAAGACATAACCAATATCGAAACTGGCCTTCATCATACCCCTGGCTGAGCTTTATCGGTAATATTGGGGAAGTATCTGCAAATTGAGCATGTCAGAACACATGTGAGTCCATGCAAAGCTGGGAAAATACAAATGACTCCCAAAGCCCATCTCTGAAGTGTCTTTCTTCATGCTAGAACTTCAGGAAGTGTTTCCCTGAGTTTCTGTTTTCCTGGATTTCTTTATTATTCATTACTCAAGAGAAGTGATATAGTCCAGCACTGGTCTGTTTTCTGTTTATTGGCCTCAACCTTGTAATATAAAACTGTCACTCCTGTTGGAGTAAAGCAGTCGTCATGTGAAGCTTGAGAAAAGTGTCACACAGGTTCTCTCAGAGGAGGGAATTAATGACACCAATGTATGCCAGTTACCATTAGTGCCATAGGAAAAGAATCTAGTTCCACAAGCTAAGCACTGCCTCCCTCTGTCGGCCTCCAAGAGAGGGCATGTAGAAAGGATCCCATGGGCCTGATGTGTTTTTCTCCCCTCTACCATTTTTGCTTACTTCCTGTTTTCAGCTGGATTGGAAGTTCCTAGGTGGAAGTATTCCTATATTTGTTCTCTGTGTAGGAAAACTCATATTCTTCATCACATTAAGTGTGCTGCTAACAGTTTAACTAGCTATAGTCATAGTCATCATTGACTGAATGTTTGTCATGCTGTGCCCTTGTCCTGAATAGGAAACTGAGGGAATAATTTGTCTCAAGCTCCTAGGTGATAAGTTACTTAGTGGGCCTCATATTCAGCCTCCTACCTCCAAAGTTAGCACCACAGTGTTGTATGGTACCTGGATGAATTCAGACCAAGTGCTTTCTTCTGTCCTTTGCTCAGAAGAGTTTGCCTATTGACTACTGAGGTTGATACCAGACTGTGATAGAAGAGTCTGGAGCATGTGAAAAGAATAGTCCAAGAATAGACAACCGGACAGCTTGATTCAGCTCATTTCATAGTTAGAGCATACCACAATGACCATATCAACTCCAAGGCAGTTAACATGTCCTGAAGAATGAGCTTCGTTACAGGCACACTTGTACCCATGAACTTCCAGCTCAATGTAACAGGCTAATGAGAGAACACCAGGGCAATGGGTCCATTTTCCAATGAGCTTTCACATCCCATGTCTTCTTAAAAGTCAAGGGCAAGTACATGGGTGAGGACCCCAGGATGCCTGGAAGAAGGCTGCAAAGCTGGCTGCTTCTAGCTCAAGCACTTACTTTAAAAAACAGAATCTGGATTTCAACTCTTGAAGCAGTTTAAAGGTTATTAACTGTTCAGCGCTTAACAATCAGTGAACAAACTTCATTATAAAATGTGTGTCATTTTGTAACCGAGTGATGACAATGTCTGACATATGACTTTTACTTGTTGAGATACGAATTTGTCTAAGAAGAATTTTTATTGGGCTCTCTGGTACTTCTATACCGGATATTAAGTGAACATGAAATCTTATTCCTTGTAGACCTACTTTGCACAGGGCTCCATAAATAAAATATCCTGTTGTGGTTTTTTTGGTAATAAAATCTCTTTTTAAAATTTTGTGTACCTCAGTGATCTGAGATCCCTCACAGGCTGGTGAGGAAGGGCCAGCCTTCACTGGAAAGCTCTGGAATTTAGCCAGAGGAGTGGACAAATTAAATCCTCTCATGGTCTAAAATACACCCTGGAGTGAGTGTTGGCTGTCTTCATGGCCCAAAGAGAAATGCCTAAATTGATGCTCAAGTTCAAGAGGTGTTTCCTTCTGACTAGTACTCTGAAATGTTTTCCTGTCTGCTATCACACTATCTTACTTCTCAAGGACAAGTGAATGACTTTGCATTTCCCCATCTCTCTCCTGCTGCCCAATAAGCAGGTCTGGTTGGTGTACAGTATCCTGTCCTAAGTAGCTGGGTTCCCTACTCACTCCAGAGTCTCAGATCAAGTATTTGTAGTCTGCACTTGTCTTCCTCTTTTCTCCTTAGTCCACTCTGTTCCTCTTCCTCCCCTGATTTTCACAAGGAGCTGAGTCATA